GAAAAAATCTTATCAGTAAAAAAACACCTGGATGACTAAACATCCAGGTTAAAGAAAACACAAATGCAAAATAAACAAATAACTGAAAATAAAAAGTAAGCAATAAAAAGAAGAGTAAAAATAAATGAGATGTTTTTGGTGGTAAATCAGTAAAACGTGCAGAGAAGGGCGCCCTCTGCTGGTCCCTCTGAGCTGGAGCGCATCAAAAACGGAAAAATAAATAAATAAATAAACATTTAAATAAATAAACAAACATAAAGTCGTCATTAATAAACCACTGGCATCAAACCAGAGGCTTAAACCCTCAGCAGCTTAAAAGGGGTCCAACAGAACCCGGAAATAGGAAAGGGGAGGGGGGGAGTCCTGAATGCGTCACCTGTACGTGTAATGAAACACCTGTGACCGGTGGGCTTTTAAAAAACCACAGAAGAAGAAGAAGCAGCAGCTCGTGTTTCAGCTGGACGACTCTTAAAGGAACAAAAAACTAAACGGACGCTGGAAGTTGGACTAAAAGATGAAAACAGGACGTGTTTGAGGAGAAACCGAGCCGGAACCGAACCACAGGTGAGTTTAAAAACACCCAGGTGTTCCTGGAAGCGTTTCTGACCTGCTGCAGCTCAGGAAGCAAAGATTCAAAATGATTAAATAAATAAACTTATTTATTAAAACCGAGCAGGGAAACCTCAGTCTGAAGGGATTTAAATCCGTTTCTGTTCGATTAAATTAAACTAAAATATATATATTTTTGTTTTTCCGGTGTTTTAATGAAATAACGTACCTCATCATGGTTGATCCAAATGACGGTCCGTGGTCCAGATCCGGACTCAAATGCTTTCTTATGGGTCGTTTTATTTTAGTAGAATTTAAAGGGAAATAAATAAAATGCTTAAAGTATTTGCACTTTTCCCTCACATTTGCATTGATTTATATAATGAGACAAAAAAAGTCCATGAGTTTTTCTTTTTACAAGTGTCATGAATTAAAATAGCAGAAAGATGGACACCAAAGATTATCTTGATTAGTGATGAACAAAAGGAAGTTTTTATCCATCGAGACATTTTAACAACACTTTCTTCTGGTTTAATGTTAAAAACCCAGAAAACTTGTGATTCTTCATYACAAAACAAATAAACATAACTTTATTTCTTCAGATAATTGGATGAAATTTTCAGGAGGAGTAGGAAATGATGTGCTACCTAAAGTTATTATTAATCTATTATTTAAACGATAACTTGTTTAAATAAAACTGTATGATCTATGATAATTTGTTTGGCTTTATCTTGTAATATAAAGTGAATGAACATTTTATTCAGTTAGAGCAACTAAAATTATTACACACTTTTAGATGGAAGTTACTATTTAAAAACATTTTTTTACCCAAATGGTTCAAAGAAAATCTGATAAGTGCTTCGATTCTTATCTCATTCAGAGCAAGAAGATAGATTTTTTTTGTTTCTGTGATGTTTCCTCAAAACCAGAGTCTGTCTTCATTTAAGCAATTATAGAAGAAATTGTCCTGATGGACTTATGACCCGGACCACTGCAGACAGGCACCAGCCTCCCCCTAAACCCGGAAATAAAAAATAAATAAATAAATAATAATAAAGATGAATGGAAGAAATGAGCTCATAAATGTCCCAGATGAGTTCCATTTATTTAATGATTTTAAACTCTTGTTGTTATGGAATCTAGAGGCACCAGCTGGGCTCTTGGTTTCCTGAAATCTTTTTTTCCATCAGAGGGAGCGCAGCAGCAATTAATTAACTCATGAAGGAGAGAACGTTGCATGGTGCCACTTGACTTGGACCAGGACCGTAAACACTTGAAGCTGCAGTGGATTAAAACTATCCTGAGGTTTTTACATTTATTCCTCTGACTTTAGTAAAAAAAAAAAAACAACTTCTTTTGTTTATTAGCTGCACAAAGAAAATCTAAACTGGTGAAATAAAAGCTAACTTTAGTCGACGTGTAAGGGTGTATTCACACCTGACTCATTCGGTCCACTTTAAATGGACCAGCGTTTGTTTCGGTC